TATTTTAAGTTTTACTTAATTAAAAATTTTTAAACCTTATTATATTTTAGGCTCATTTTAATATAATTTCCAGTCTAGAATCTATGGACCTGTGCGCTACAGATAGAATTATTTCCAGAAAGCATATAAATACCTCAGCCATTTTAGATAAAATCTTTACACCTTTTTCTTATGTTTTGGAGAGAACCATTTAGGTTGAAGTGAGGCACCTAGCTCAAAACTCACTCCTATTTGGTAAACACATGTTCCTTGGGATAAGGGCTTTCCTTTAGAAATAAATGGATCCTTCAAAATTTTTTTATAATGCATTGATCTTTTTCACTTTATTTCAATGAAGTTAAATGTGTCTTTATTTTTTTCTTATTTTAACTATCACTTATTCACTGAAAAATTAATGGGGTCAACACTTCAAAACTAGTCCTTTCTTCTGTTCTTTTAGTGCATCTTCACTGTGGTATCCTTGGCTACTACCTTTTCAACATTATGATCCCTCTTCTTCACGTCATTTCCATTTTGTCTGATGTGGAACACAAGCATTAACTCTAACACAAAGAAGCTCGGCCACTCACATTATCAGAAAAGGCATTAGCATGTTTTTGACGTGGCCCTTACAGTTAACCTCACAGGGGAGAAATATTTGCAACAGCTGGCACATTATAGAGGGAGAAATATAATGTTAAGAAACACATTTTTAGACTGTTTCTGAAAAGAATGACTAGACATATAGCAATAAAACTCCACTGATTGGTTTTATATTCTCTCTTTTTGGAAATAGTTGTTTACATCATTTCTTACTTTCATCTAATGTGAAGATAAAAAAACTCTTTGTTCTTACCTTCCTTGATACTCGATTAATAAATATTTTATTTATAGATGTTGTCACATTTAACTTCTTAAAACAAAGTCCAGAGATTCTTCCAGAGGAAGCCTTAATTTGAAAACAAATTAAAACTTTATGGAGTTAAACCTAATTTTAGTGATAAACAGAATGAATTTAGGAAACACTTTGCAAATACTCACTAGCTTTTTAAATGAGTTTTCATTCTGAAAAAAAGTATAAAGAAAGAATCACTTTTAAAAGAAATGCATTACCTAACTTTTTAATACCTTATTTGGATTTATATTATAGCCTCTAAATACATTCACATGAAAATATTTTTGGTTTAAGCATCATAAGGTTAATCTCAGTGAGTTCTTACTCACTTTCTTAGAATCCCTGATGTTGCAGTATATGTCAGCTATAGATTCATGAAGAAAAGACTACAAAAATGGATTATGACCTACCTGATTCATGGAACATTTTTCAATATGAGCAACTATAATTTCCCCAGGAATTCTTAATAAGATATAAGAAGCCATGCTATATAACGCTGCATTGTTTCCATCAAACGTAATAATGCTCAGTTCTGACAACATGGAACACCTACCTAAGAAATAAAATGGTGGAGAGTGGATTTAGTCTATTAACTATTTGTATTTTTAGTAATAACTGCTCTTTAATTTTAAAAAAAACTTTTAAATTAGCCCTGTTAACATGAAGCAACTCTAAAAGTTACATACTGTGAACCAAAATTGTAAATAAAATGAAGAAAGCTCAAAAAGAATAACTTTAGCTTGATGAGGTCATAGGTTGAAAAGATGACAATCTCCCTTGATTAAAAAACTGATCATCACATAAGAAATGCAGACTTACAAGGACATTCCCACTCAGGGCAGCAGATATCGCTGTTCACTTGAACTGGCCTTCCCCGGAAACCACAGTCAGGCATTTCCAAATCCTTCGGGCAATTAAGAGACCAGTTGTACAGTTTCCATTCCATATTAAGGCATATATATTGGCTACAGTTATAAACAGGATCAAATTTCTGAGGCTGTTAATGAAAAAAAACAAAATTGTTGGGTTTTCCCCATTTTTAACTAATGTTTTTAATTGATTTTTTAATTTCACATTCACATTGTTTATATTGTACATTTCCTAAATATAAAAACTTTTGAAAGATAAAGAATTAGAATCTTACTACAATTTTTTGTTGGTGTATCCTCTCTACAATACTCAATATGCATTTAATTTAAGCTTTACTTTAATATTGATTTGATATCAGAATTGCCCATATACTCAGATATCTGAACAAAACACTCCTATCCTAAATTCTCTAGAACAGTGTTTTGCAAACAGACATACAGTGGCAGCTAACATTTCACACTACATTGTATAAAGCTAGTATATGAATATAACTTCTGTTAATGTCAGTTTAAAAAA